CGAGGGGAACGTAGTGAAGGGGATACAATGGTAGGAGTCTACTACAGATCTCCAAACCAGGAACAGGTGCTTGACCTAGAATTTGCATGGGAACTGGCCAAGACTGCACACTCTCAGCGCATGGTCATCATGGAAGACTTCAACTATCCGGACACCTATGGGATGAGCACTTGGCCAAATCCAATCAGTCACAAAGTTTCCTTACATGCGTGGATGAGCTCTACATGTCCCAAGAAGTTTATGGGCCGACAAGAGGCAAGGTGCTGCTGGACCTGGTATGGCCAAGGGGAATGATCTAATCAGCAACTTAAGAATCAAAGGGAAGCTGGGGGACAGTGACCACGAGTTGATCACTTTCACTATCCATCACAAAGCTGGCAAGTCAGCCAGCAATGCAGTAGTCCTTGATTTTTGGAAAGCTGACTTTCATAAGCTCAGGAGGCTTATTCTTGAGGCCCTGAGAGGCCATGATTTCTCATGGAGGGGAGTTCATGATGAATGTTTGCTCCGTAAGAAAGCAATCCTAGAAGCACAAGAAGAGTCCATCTCCACCCATAGGAAAGGTGGTAAAAGGGCTCAACAACCCCCTTGGCTCAACGGGGAACTCAAGGACATACTTCATCTAAAAATAGAGGTGTATAATGGATGGAGGACAGGAAACACCACTAAGGAGGAGTATACTGCACTGGTCTGCACCTGCAGGTAGCAAACGCGAAAAGCCAAGGCTGCAACTGAACTCCATCTGGCTACACGAAGCAAGGACAACAAAATATGTGGGGAGTTGAAAGATGTGGGGAATTGAAAGAAAAACAAGGGCAATATTGGACCCCTGCTAAACATCTGGGGCAGCTGACTATTGACACCCAGAAAAAAGCCAATCTGATTAATGATTACTTTGCGTTGGTTTTTCACCAGCCCAAAGGGACCACCTTGCCTATCATGATGTGGGATGACCAGGGTAAAGATGAATATATGCCCACCACTGGCATGGATCATGTGAGGGAGCATCTTGAGAGGCTAGACTCCCATAAATCAGCTGGTCTGGATAGGTTGCACCCAAGAGTACTAAAGGAACTGGCAGACATCATAGCACAGCCACTGGCAAGGATACTTGAGAACTTGTGGAGCTCAGGCGAAGTACCTGAAGATTGAAAGAGAGCCAATGTGGTGCCCATCTTCAAGAAAGGGAGAAAAGAAGACCTGGGAAACCACAGGCCAATCAGTTTGACCTCAATCTCTGGGAAGATTTGGAAAAAATGATCAAAGAAACCATTCTTGACATGTTAACAGAAGGCAACATTCTGAGGGATAGCCAGCATGGGTTTGTTGCGGATAGGTCTTGCTTGACCAATCTCATTTCCTTCTATGACCAGGTGACATATCACCTGGACAAAAGGGAAGAGGTTGATGTCATATATTTGGACTTTAAAAAAGCCTTTGTGTCCCATAATGTCCTCATTGGACTACTCTATAGTCCAATGGCTGGGGAACTGGCTCTGAGGTCAGACCCAGAGAGTAGTAGATGACAGAACCAAATCAACATGGTGCCTGGTGACTAGAGGCATCCCCCCAAGTCTCCATTCTCAGACCTGTACTCTTTAATGTCTTTATAAACAATCTAGACACTGGTGTCAAAAGCAGACTGGCCAAGTTTGCTGATGACACTAAAATTTGAGGAAAAGTGTCAACACTTGAGGATAGGCTGGTGATCCAGGCCAACCTTGATAGGCTTGCAAGATGGATGGATGAAAACCTGATGGCATTCAATATGGAGAAATGCAAGGTGCTCCACCTCAGGAATAAAAACTTGCATCACACTTATAGTCGCGGCAATGCTACACTCGCTAGCACCATGACCAAAAGAGACTTGGGGGGTCACGATTGACCACAAGATGAACAAAAGCCACCAATGTGATACTGCATCTGGCAAAGCAAACAAAACTCTGGCTTGCATCTACTGATGCATCTCGAGCAAGACCCAGGATGTCATCCTCCTACTGTAATCGGCCTTGGTGAGGCCGCAGCTGGAGTACTGCATCCAATTCTGGGCTCCACAATTTAGGAAGAATGTGGAGAAGCTTGAGAGACTCCAGAAGGGAGCTATGCACATGATCCGAGGGCAAGAGAACAAGCCTTATGATGAGAGGCTGTGAGCTATAGGACTCTTCAGCCTGGAGAAGCGCAGGCTCAGGGGTGACTTGGGGGCAACCTATAAGTACATACGGGGTGTGTATCAAGATCTGGGGGAACACCTGTTCACCAGAGCACCCCAAGGGATGACAAGCTCCAATGGTCACAAACTCCTGCAAAACCACTTTAGGCTGGACATAAAGAAAAACTTCTTTACTGTCCAAGCCCCCAAGGCCTGGAATAGACCCCTCCCCAGAGGTGGTGCAAGCACCTACCCTGGACACTTTCAAGAAACATTTGGACATTTATCTTGCCAGGATCCTTTGAACCTAGCTGACTTTCTGCCCCTTGGGGAGGGGGCTGAACCAGATGATCTTACGATGTCCTTTCCAGCCCTAATGTCTATGAAATCTTGCAAGTCCACTCTTGAAGCAGCTTAGCTATATAAATCGTTGATGCTAGGGAATAAGAACACCACAGAAACAGGGGTAGGGGGCAGGGAAAAAGAGACTTGCCATTACAGCAGTAGCTAAAAATCCACTCCATCTGAAGAATCATTAAATTGGATGAAATAGGAAATCTTGTAAAAGTCTAACAGAGGTCATCCTAAGCTACACAGTTTGCTGACTGAACTAGAAGCAATCTTAACTGAAGAACTGAACTCTTAAAGCTTCAAGAACAGTCTCAGAAATCAGATGAATTTGAATGGCTCTGCTGCCTTCTTAAAGTAGCTTATAATTTAATGCTGCTGTTACTGAAGCTGAGGATCTGTTTTTTCTTATGACCTATTTTAGCATGTGGAGGTGGATCACAAGCTGAATATAGGTCACCAAACCAGCACCATATTGTGACTTATTAACAGAAGTGTCATATGCAAGTCATGGGAAGGGATTCTTCTACCCTCTTCAGTACTGATGAACTGTGTCCAGTAGAGAAAGGTCAATGTGGAAAGCCAAAAGCCTTACTACATGGATCAAGGCAAAGAATACAAGAGAAGAAGGGAAACAGTGGACCATAAGGAATATTTTCCTTACTAGGTTCATTATTAGCTATAGCTGTTAGTTTTGCTACTTACGAATCCAACTCCAATGTAAGCATGCTTTCCACAGTCCAAGCTTATTTACTTTCTTTTCTCTTGTTAATATTACCTTTCAGTTTTTAAGAAAAAAAGTATTTTATGAATAACCAATTGCAGTTAATGAAAACTTTCACTCTACTCTACTCTGGGTGGACATTTTACAGAGATTCATGAGTGCTCACAACATTCTGAGCTAGTGCACAACACAATTTCCTGACACAGGCATATCTATATGCTGTTCAGCACGTTGTAAAATAGAGGTGTTTTTGAAGCTAACGATTGTGCAGGAAAATGTAGGTTCCCTGCGTAACTTTTTTTGCAACATGTTGGAAGAAAAGCACTTCAATGACCTTACCTTCTCTCATTAATTTGGTGAAGGACTTGCATTAGCATTTTCATACGCACATGACGTCACTGACACACAACCAGAGGCTAAATCTTTAATATAGGCTCAAATACGCACTTCATGGCAAGGGAACAAAGACCAATATACACTTGCAACACAATACTTCAGGCAGCACAACACTTCACAGCAACCACATTGCTACATTAAAACAGCTATTAAAAACAGATTCAAGTTCCAGTCCAAAAAGAAAGAAAGAAATCACGTCAACCTCTTTTTGCAAAGCTGCATCTGCTACAAAACTGAAACAACATACTCTGCTGTGGTACTACAGTACCACTTTGGTCCACAAAGCAGTTATAAGGACCAAGGATGTACTTTTCAGTGCTGCAAGTTTCATAACAAAATTAGCATCAATATAAAATGAAGACTGCTTCTTGTATTATTGCAACACATTATAATGAAAAATATAAATAAAACTGATGGGTATCATCAACATCCAGCTATATTTGGATGTGTAGTGTAGAAGCATGGAAAGCTGTGTTTGTGCTGCCTCTGGATATAAATTTATTTTCCTATGTATTACTGCCAAAAATAGAAAGCCTGCAATAACATGCAGTCCTGGAAGCTTAAAATAATATATTTTATTAGCTAACGTATGTTTACTTTTCCGTTGAAAGTGCAATAATCTTTAAACTTCCATGTCGATTTAATTAAATGTTGTTCTTTTATAAATTGTATAGAACACTTTCTAGTACTGAAGAAAAATCACATCTGCTATTTATAATGCTGCATGTAAAGTGGTACCAATAAAAAATTAATACTTAATTGTTCTACGTTGGTAGCAGATATGCCACAGATTCCACACATAAGAGAAATATTGTGGTAATCTCACACACCACAGTGTGGTAACCATTGGTAAACACCACCCTTTTAACAATAACCATTGTATTTGGGGTCGTGGAAGAAGATTACTGTTGACTATCTTGGTTATTCATAGACTGATTTTCAGAGGGGATGGGCTCCTGCAGCTTCTGTGAATCCCAGATGGAGTTTCTTATGCCACTAGTTGTAATATATACATATTAATTGAAGTAGAACTAATGGTGTTGAAAGTCCCAAAGTTTTGATAGGTTCTGGCACCTGCAACTCCCAGCCTCTCTAAGGATCAGCCTCACTTCAAAAAAAATACAGCTGACAGATTATTTCTCTGCTTCTGGTTAAATTTCCAACTCTTTCAGCCTGACTTGTTGCATGGCTGTAAAGGTAGCCAAAGATTGAGCCCAGGATTACTATATAAAAGAAAAATACATAAGTGGTTCATTATTTCAAGAAAGTGTTGAGCTTTCAGAAGGACGAAGTCATTCCACCCCAGAGCCTTGTATCTGTTGCTTAAAAGAAACAACTCTTCAGTGCTACCAGTTGTCCAAAATGAAACAGAAACCTTACCTGTGCATCCAAATTTTTACGGGAAGAGGCAGGTGTGTTGGCATAGGAGCTGATGGAGGAGCTGGTGTTAATATCATCGGTGCTAAGGTTGTCTATGGTGTCACTGATCCCACTGCTGACAGAGCTGCTGTCATCCCAGCTGGGGAAAGAAGCACACAATTTAAACCCAACACTTGGGCTACTAAAGAACCAATACACAAAAGAAGTTCAAAATGGGAAATATTATTCATAGAGGCTATATCCTATCTGAGCTGCAGACACAGGACTGCTCTCTTTGACGTTTATATGGCACAAGGCAATGTCATGCAGAGGTGTCCTGTATGGGCAGATTAGATCTGCAAAGCTAACGTGCACATCAAGCACATCAGCACTGTGCTGCCTTGAGCGGTGTGGGTACACCCTTAGATATCAAGTTTGATGTTATATAAAGAGTCATTTGCATGACTGCCATAACTGTCTATTCTCTATTAGGAATAAGATCCTGTTACAAATAAAGCCTTTTTTCATATTGACTCTATTCAAAATTTGCAAATGAGTATAAAGTTTTAATTCATCACCATCTAGTCCCCCAAGAAAAAGATAAGCTCAGGGAGATACTTCTGAGAGAGAAAACAGGACCATGCTGATCCATAAGCAGGAATGGGAACTTAAACTCCCTGTAAAAAACAATCTATGAGAAAGTTTCTAAACTCATTTTACGTACTTGGCCCCACAACTACATAAGCACCCACTTCTACTGTTCAGTTCCCAAAAGGCAAAAAAGGGCCAGAATCGTATTCAGAAACTGCTTGTTGTTTCTAGTTTTTAAAGGTTTAATGAAGGGATGTCTCTGTTAAGACAACTACTGTAACTACTCTCATACACTCATATCTCTACCACTCAGGTAAAACAACACCTTACTACTAAGAATAGTTTCTTCCAGCAAATGATAGCTTCATTTTTTATCAACAAATATTTAAGTAATGGCTAACTGGAATCTTAACACAAAGGGCATTTATACACATACCTTTTTGTGCTGTGATGTACCAGAGATCCAGGACATCAGAGCAGACTTAATTAATCGAGCCTGCTCCGCTTGCGAGCTGACGTGCCCAGCGCTGTGTCGCATGCATTTGTATAAAGAGCGAAATATGCGTCAGCGCTGGGAAAATGGCATTGGTGCGCTTATGTGTTCCAAAGTGTGCCACTGCCATTTTCTCAGTGCTGATGCACCCCTTGCCATTTATACAAATGCACGTGACACAGTGCCAGGGGCTTTCAAAAGCACCTGGCACTGTGTCGCACACACACGTCTAAAAATGCCCAAAGTAACCATATATTTACGTTGACTTGAAGGCCATAACAAACAAAACAAAAGAAATTCAAAGGGTAAGGCCTCACTCCAAAGTAAACCCTTTGAAGTTTACTTAGGAGTATGTGCTCCTAAGTAAACTTCATAAGTAAAGATTTACAAACTAGCAAGTACGGAAAGGCTTTTTCTCCAAGGGAAATAAACCCACATTTGAACAATGTCCTACAGATAGCCTACTGGAAAATACATATTTCAGAAAGCATTTAAACATGGATAAGAAGCCCATGTGTTTCAGGTGTTGATACTATCGCTTTTTTAAAACATGGATCATGGATTTAAGAGAAATCCAGTCCTGAAACTTCTTCCAAACTTTCATAGTCCTGAATAACCCAAGATCACAGAGGGTTATTGGACCAGAGTTTGGAAGCCACATACAAACTTGATACACAAGATACATACTACATATTTTAAAAAATTAGCTATTTATAAAAACAAGGGACAATGGGTTCCAGAGGTTAGAATTAAGGGAATTAGATTCAGGTTTCACTGGCTGAATTCACAGATCTACCACTAACTTGCTGAACAACCTTTTCTCTCCATTTTTCCCACTTGCATTTACAACAATAGTAATTTATAGGGACTGCAACAGAGTTTAAAGTGATAGAAAAAAGAATGATAATAGGACAAAATAAGCAGAAGGACTTTAAACAACAATTTTAGTTCAGTTGCTGTTTTCCACTATCCCATATAATACAACACTGTTCATCAGTTTGACCACTCATTATCCTCATATTCTCCCAGTTCATCAAAGTACATAAGTGAATAGCTAACAATGCTCTGAGTAGCCCTATAGCTAGTAGTCAATTCCATGCTACTTAAGAGTTAGACTTAAACATTTTGTTGAATTAAGACATACTGAGTGTGTGTACATATGTATTTACATGCACCTAAACTTAACGCACCTTTGCTGAAGGCACATTAAGGCAATTTAGGCATGCGTCTACACATGGATGCGCTAATGCGCATTAAGGTGCATTAAATTTAGGCATGACTAGCTTAGCAACATTAGCCCACATGCAGACGCGTAAATGCACATTAAGCGTCTACATGTGGGCTAATGCGATTTAGCTATTCATGCCTAAATGTAATACTTGTCCCTTAATATGCCTTAAAAATGGAGATTTTAGGTTAATCCCATTTAAAAGAGGTACGTGTAGACATGCCCATTGACTATGGAGAAAATCAGAAACATGCATCTGAAGATATGGGTTGTTATGGCATTGAAAGGGATTTTACGGAGTGTTCTAGTTTAAATATTTCTTGTACTTTAGTCTAATGGAGAAAAGTAACCATATAAAAACTTTATATTTTAAAACCTACTACATTACCACAAAAAAAAGAACAGCCATATCTCTGGGACCCACAGCTAGAATGCCTAGTATTTTGCCTGCTAGCAGCTAACAAATAATACTAGTATTCTTGCAGTTATGCTGAGGACACCAATAAATGATACTGATGCAAGCTGTTTTGACAAGATGCCAAAGCTGCCAAGCTGTTTTGACAAGATAAGATGCTGTGTAAGCTAAAAAGAGCCATATCAATTGCAGCTTTATTCTGAAGCACATCCGAGTGGGGAGGAAATCAGTCTTTAACAATAAGAGGAATGGATAAAATGGACAGGAAAGGAAAGTCTGCCCAATTAAAAGGAGTTTAAAGATTGTGTTAATTGGTACTGTCCATTCAAGCAAGACCCTTGACTTTATTTTAAAACCGGTTTTATTCATTCTTGTTCACTGGACTCTGCTATGCTGCTAATGCTAAGCCTTCCAGAAGCAAACACTGCATAACACATACATCTCAGGACAAAAATAGAAGCATTTCTGTAACCATTAAAATACATGTACACTCTTAACTTCTCTTTTTTTATAAATTCAGTAATGAAAAATTATTAATCTTGTAAAGATTACAGCATTTCTACAGAGAAAATATACAGCAGGTAGCACACATTATATACTGAAAGCTTTATATTATATTCAATCACATAGGGTCATAAAAATCAGAGCTATAAAAATGTCTTAGATGCATCTCTTGCAAGCATAAGCAACGATTTCCCAAGAAAGGTGACAGATAATCAGTTACCAAACTCACATGGCTATTTCATATTATCTCTTAAAATGGCCCCAACCCCCTCACAAAAATTAGTTCACATTTTTACCTTGATTCAGTGTCCTGATGGTTAAAGTCAAAAGAGAAGAAGCAGAATGGGAAATCTAACAACCCTCATAATTACAGCATTCCTGGCTCTCTGAGCCATGATAACATCTTTGTAATTTAGCTGGTGCAATTAATAATTTCTGATGTCAGCAAAAATCTACTGAGCCATAACCCGAAGCTGGAACATTCGGGCTTTTCTTCCTCCACTTGATCAATCAACCAAAACCCTACTTTGATTACTGGAAATTACATGAATTCTTAGAAGTGTATTCATTTCAACCTCTTACCTTATATGTATAGAAATTGTACCACAACCCTCTCAAAGGACATCACCACAACTGAAAACATATCTGATTGCAAATAGCTTCAAGATATAGGGATTTCAGGTACTATTACACTTGAACAAATGAGAGACATCCAAAGGGCATAGTAAAACCTCAAAAATGCATACACACTGAGAAGTCTGGTGCACCAACATCTCTCTTAATTGAATCAGACTGCAGGTACTACCCTCTCAATTCTCTGCCTAGCCCTAGAGGAGACCTACAGCACTGCTGAGTAGACTATACTACTTTAGGCTATATTTGATCAGCCTTAAATGTAAAGCATCATTCCCTAAGCATCTCAGAAGTTTTCTGATGCTTTAAATTTTAAATACAGCTTAAGAAATGGAAACTGAGTAGAGGCAAAACTGCTCTCAGATTTCTAAAAGCCTAAACAGGTACAACTGAGCATCAACTTGAAGATATTCATCTGTAACATAATATCTAATAACTTTATTGTCCTACTTTTGTCTACCCCTCTTTGATCCAAAATGAGGCCTGTGGTTTCAACTACTCACTAAGTGACTATTACTTATTGTACTCTGCTCCTCCCATGTCAAAGCTACCTTTATGCTCTCTGCCAAGGACTGCACACTCACAACAGCCAGCCACAGGAATACAATCTCTTCCAGAGCTGCAGTCCCTCTGAAGTGATGCTTTAAGAGCAGTGTGGAAACACTTCTCTCCCTGACTTTATTCTTCTCACCCAAAAGTGACTGAGAACAGTACTCCTGTTAGTCTCCCACATAAAAGCACCAGGACCAGATCAGCTACTCAGACCTACTTTTTGAAATAGTCAGAACTGCAAACTGGTCAAGCATTCAGTCTTGCAGTTTTCTACAGTCTGTTAATATTCTCCAATAGAGCGTGATTTTTTTTTTTTTTACACATAAAGGTGGCTACTGCAAGGGGGTATGAATACACCCGTGGAATCCTTGGACATCATTTCAATTCAGAACTTCTCCATATTCACATGCTCTAAGCAAAACAATATTTAAAACATTACTAAATAATACCATTAACAAAGGGCAAAATGCATCACTATCTTGTTGGGTATACACTTCAATTTCTCTGTGGAATAGCACAATGAAAATTACAATAAATTGTCAAAGACATAAAGGCATGGTACACCTCCAATATTCCACTGGAAACACGGCAATTATCCTTTTTCATCTAAAACTTTCACTGTTTATTTGCTTATTGAAAGAGGAAAAAAAATCATCTGATAAATTAATACATACCTCATAAAGTATTCCAAGAAAAAAAAAAGACTCACAAAATATGCTATCAAGCAAAATACTGAATATTTAA